CAGCTAAGGCTGAGTGTTTGTATGCAAACAAGTAGGCTGGTGAACTTATCTGCCTGTGTTTATCTATTGTGGGGGAGTGAGCTTACTATTGCTGAGCCATCATGGGAAATTATACTGCAGGAATTGTTCTGTGGCATGGAAAAACACAACTTCTCAAGCACTCGTCTTTGACTCTGGAATGATCAGGATTTTGCTGAACAGGGTGGGAGGAATGGATTCTTTCAGCATGCCCTCGCAGAGACAGAAATGGTCACCCGTTTAATAAGTGAAATTTAGTGTTGGTCAGACACATTAGAGACAATATCCTCTATTTGTCCCCAGACTAGGTGCACCATCTGCACTGCAAGTTTTGCCTGAAGTGAGGTTAAGTAGCCCTAAGACTGATATGGGGGAACCAACTCCTGAGGATGAGAAGGAAGCTCATGGCCTTGGCCTTTCTCGCCAAACTATCAAATGCCACGTGGGTACGCATCCGTTAGGAGTTGGATTGCTATCTCGTGTTTGACAGGCCACCATACAGCTTTCAGGGTATGATTGCTTTCAACCACTGCCAATCCTATTCAAATTAAAACTTTAGTTCCATCTGAAAAATTCCACAGTCTCTTGCCAATCTGCTGGGCACATGCCAGTTCTGGTTTTAAACATTCAGAGCATTTTTACGTGTGTTGTGGGATGCAGTGCTGGGTGCTTTAATTAGTGAGCCATGCTAATTAAAAGTGCCCGCCCATCACATGCATCAGCATCGCGGTGTGTCCCCGCGCTGCAAAAATAGCAACAGGGCACTTTGAACTAAAGCTCATTGAATGTATTTTATTTCAAAGCACCCCATCACCATTTTTTCAGTGCGGAGACGTTAAGTGACGCTGGTACACATGATGTGGAAGGCTGCCGGAGCGCGTCACTTTTCATGCTCCAGCAGATTCGATTAATCGAGTGTGCTCCCCAGCACATCGGAGCAGGCTCCGCGCATGTGTATAGGAGCCCTCAGTTACCAGAAGCACAGCGAGTTCAGGATTTTGCATGAGAGGTAAAATCTATTGCCTCAAGTAGGAAATGTTCTTCAGCTTGCCGGCTACTCCTTGAGGACTGGGCAAGTCCTGGGGAGCATAGATGTTGAGACAGGAAGGCCTCTCTCCAACACTGGGTCCCACAAAATCAAAAATTCTGTTCTGCATTCTTTTACCTTTCAATCATGTAGTATGGATAACATTTCAGTGTTGTCAGCCCTCAGGATACCGTGCAGAGGGGAAGAAAGGGGCACAGTCCTATTACTGGACTGATAAGAAATCTTGAGTTGTATCGTGGTTTTAACAACTACTTCCTCTATGGTACTGGGCAAGTGATGTAGTGCAGATTTTCTAATTTTTGTTTTTTGGCATCCTACTTCACATGTCTAGATACTGCTTTTCAGAGGTTGTGAGGACCCTTGTTCCCACTGATATTAGCTGGAACCTCTAGAAATCAATCTGCAAGGTATTGAAAGACAGACACCCAAAGACTAGGCCACCCAAATTTAGATGCTGCTTTCAAAATTTGGGCCTTAGTTTTTCTACTTCATCTCTCATATAGATATTTGAGCTGCCGTAAACAGATAAAACACGAAAGACTGGCTTACAGTACCTACCACCCCCACTCAGGTAGGATGAGGATTAGTTAGTTGACATTTGTAAAATGCATTGAAGATTAAATAACACTATATCAACACTTATTTGTTAAGGTTGAAGAACTGTTTCCGTTATAATCCCACATTTTCTGAGCAACAATTCTTTGGCTATTATTGATGCAGACAATAGCAGTGTCTGCATCACATTTAGCAGGCTCTGTTGCTTTCTATATCATATGCATACACCATACACACAGATTAATTAGTATCTATAAGTGGTATGGACAGATTTTTTTCTCAACAGACAATTATATATAATTTACTTGTTCTAAAAGCCCATGTAGTCAAGTACATCCCCCCAGAAGTTGAAAATATGCTTCTCTTACTCCCCTCAATAAAAAACACAAAGAATGTACTTATTAATTACTTTCAAATGTTGGCACCTCAGAGTGTTTCTGCAATTTACAGTCCATTTGTAAGAAGCTGTTTTTGGCTGAAGTGTGTCCAGGTAAGGGCTTAGCCAAATAGCAATTTTAATAACTATTTAATTTTCATGTGTAATGTCATTTTAATCAATTTAGTGCTGTTGATACATGCCAGAGGGATGATATCGCTGGAGACTGTGGTGCTGCAAAGAACAGGTATGTAATAGGCAGCATAAGTGTAGGCTTCACTCCTCCAGATTTGCAAAGTCCCCAGTGCGCAACTTTATGAATGCAAAGAAGTTACCATGCCACTTAGGTGCTAGGTCTCTCTAAGCTGAGAATATCAACAAGACTCTTAACTGTGAGTGCTAGCCTTTTGAGTACTCGAAAACTTCTCCTTGTGTCCCTCAAGTATTAAAAAATCACGAGTCAAATCCCCTAAAACAACAAGATTGGATAAAAATATCATGAGAGATATTTTAAAATCATAAACAAAGGGTTCTTTATATTTGCGATCTCATGGTATTTTTTGTTGCATTTCTGGTCTTTTCTTTCTTTCTTTTTGAACCTTTAAGATTCAAGTTTTCAAGATTTTTGCTATAACCAGGAAGGCTAGAAACTCATTTAAAAAGAAATGATATTCTCACATAATGTCTCAGTTCACAGAGGCATGTGATTAACAAGCCCATGTGATGAAATCAGAAAAGCAAGCAGCACTGAAACAGCCATCAAATGATAATGGCTTCAGAGTTGATGCAGACTGGTTATTTAAAAATGAAAGGTTGTATTGTGGACTGATCATGATCTACTTTGTATGTGCTCACAAAAATATTATCCCAAAGTAAGCTTTTTCCATTTTGTTAAGAGCTATCTACCAAAACTTTAGGGTTTTTATGAAAAAAACACCTCAAAATAGAAATACTTTAGTTCTACTCTGATATTCATTTGTTTGGATTTTTGGTTTTTGTTTTCAGATGGTCAAAAAACACTAAATATGCCCTCATTTTTTAAAGATTTTCCATTTATAATATTACCATAGGTCATATCCAAATCCAAGTGGCTTCCTTCAGACCTCTTCACTTTTTAATGAAGTAGATATTGAAAGAATGAAGCCTGTGATATTAACTGATCACTTTTTGCCTTTCCAAATTAGTTAAGTGAAACTGAATTTAATGTGGTTTACAAATCAGCCATAGGATATTTTATACTTCACTTTTTTCCATTAAAAACTGGATTACAACATTCTAGAAATAGCTTCAGAGCCATATTTACTGTAAGACAAACAGAATTAATACAGAGTAAAGGATGTGGGAAATACCAACTTGGTATCATTGTGATGACTGAAAAGCAATAACAAAAAATCCCTAAACAAAGCTGGGGTTTTCCACTGCTTGGAGTAATTACTGGAAATGTCTAAGATTCATTTGCTCTGAGAAGGTGCAGCATACTGTCCATTTGTCCCTGGGCTGTCCATACAAGGGTTAAAAGTTTGGAAAATAACAGATTTAGAGAGAAGACTGTCACAGTGAGAGAGACTCATTTATTGGGAATGTACTGCATTTGCAAGAAAATTAAAAGAAAGCAAATTAGCTAGGAGCTTTAAAGAACTCTTCCTCCTTTTACTGAGGTTAATGAGATTTTCCCCATACCAGAGCAGCTCTAATAACTTCTGCCCAGTGGCTTCTGTAAACCGGTGCTTACAAAATGAAACAAACTTGGTGTGACAGCAACTTAGTGAATGCGGAGGGGGAAGAGTTGAAAGTCTAAGGGGACTTGGGGATGGGGTGAAGAGAGGGAATGAATCATTGGGATATTTTGCAGTGTGATCTAGCAGTCTCATGCTAGGTAAACACACAATACATATGCATGTGCATGCGTGTGTGTGTACACACACACACAGAGTCATGCGGACATGCACAAACTGCTGCATGTCCATTATGGGATATGTGGTATGACACAGTCCTTTCATAAGCATAACTTCACATGGCAGTGGACAAACTAACATAAACTATTTCCAAGCTTGTACTGAGTTAAGTAAGATTTTTCCCGGAAGGTGAATTTCCTTTAGTAGGGTGGAAGTTGGGGCAGGAGGAAAGGGCAGGAATTCCTATTTTAAGCAAGAATCTGATGCTTTCTAGGAAACTGAGTTTTTCAACATCCTCTCAAGCAGAAAGGATACTTTAGAGAGAAGGGGAGTGGGGGGGGCCAGTTGGGAGATGGGGAGGGGAGAGAGGAGATTAGTGAAATTATCCATATTTTGAAAAGCCCCCCAGTGTTGAAATGCTGATGCAAGTAGGACCGGGGTACTGTATTGCAAAGCTTTTTAGCGAAGAGACTATAGATGTGCTCCTCCACAGAGGAGAGTGGCCAAAGTTCTTACATTGCAAATGGTTTCCTTAGTAGTAATGCACTTGCAAATCTAGGTGTTATTCTGAAGGGCATCAGAATCCCAAGGTATTATCGTTCACTAGGCTTTTAGTAAAATTATTTTAGACAATCAATGGACATATCTACATTTGTCTCAGACTGGAGAAAAAATATTTTAGCTTTCCTAAAACAGAAATGTGTGCCTGCCTGTGTGTAGTGGGAATCTACAGTAGTAATATTTTGTAATCGATTTCTAAGGTCCTCTTACTTGGATTTCTGTGAGGGTGTAATAAAAATATGGTTGTGCACAAAACCAAAATGATCTAATAAACAGTAAGTATTTAATATATGACTCTCTACAATAAACCAGATAATTCCTGTATATGTTATACTATTCTGGTCTCAGATTATTGTAAGTTAAATTTCCTACTAGCTCACTTCCATAGATTTTTTTTAGATTTCATAGATGTTAGGGGCTGGAAGAGACCTCATGAGGTCATCTAGGCCAGGCCCCCCACCGCGAGACGTCAGCTGGGATCAAGTGACCCCAGCAAGAAAACCATCCACATGTTTTTTGAAAGAATCCAGAGTAGGTGCCTGCACCACCTCTGGGGGGAGTTTGTTCCAGAAACTGCACTTTTCAATTTTTTGCTGAATTCAGCTAATTGTACGAAACACATTTTTGGAATGATGGCAGAATGCACAGGTAGAGAAGAACTATCTAAATATGATAACCTGTTTCATGGGAAATGATACCCTTGTGTATGGAAAAAGCAGAGCTATTTCTCTTGGCTGTTCCTTCTTTGCAAACACCGTCCTGTTTTTGTTCTTTAGTGACATCACAACTGCAAGTTATTAAAAGTTTAGCAGGATTCAGAACATTCTAATCCAACAATTTCTGAGCACTCTGAATATTTCATGTCTGTCATCTAAAGCAGTTTCAGTTCTTCAAAACATCAGGAGAAAAAATTATGCATTGTATATTTATAATACATGATGGCTGATCTCTTCTGACATTTATCTTTACTGTAGAAAAGAGACGGGATAACTCATTCATGGCTTTGAAAGTAAATGTCATAACCAAGATCCCAAGATCTGCTATTATAAATAGTCTGTTAACCCTTTGGATTATTTTTCTTGACAATTGAATTGATTTAACAAGGGTTCATCTGAACAGCATTAGATACGTGCTAGTGTCCTTCTAGTTGCAATTCCTACTGCTCAGAAACAGAAATGAGCTCAGTTACATGCATCCATAGGATTGCTGTCCAGATATGAGGCTGCTGAGTGTCTTGTGAGAATGCTAAGCTACCCATCAGGATCTAAAGACTGCACATGTCGAGGTCAGATGACAGTGTTTCCAGACCTGATGATTTTACTTAAGTTTCACCATATTTGATGTTGTTTCTTAAAGCCTCAGTTCTTGAAATCCTATAATTATGGGACAATCTCACATTTCATTTCCTCAGAAAGGGAAAAAAAACAAAGTTATTGCCCCCTGGAGGATGGAAAATAAAACCCAAACAATAAATTAAAAGTGACTCAAATTATTTACTCTCTTTTTTAGAAGTTATGAATTCTTGAGTTCTTGGCTCATGAGTTTTTGGATCAGTTCTGCCCAGGGGAAAGCTTGCAAGTGGGGACTTTAGAGAAGGAACTATCTGTATAAAACTTATATAATCCAACCTTCCTCTCATTTAGACCTGTGCATCTCTGATTTCTACAGCTGCACTCCTAATTTATGATGGTGTAAGTGCAAGGAGAATCAGATACATGGAGTTCTTGGTTCTCTAGTTCCCAGAAAGGGTCAATCAGTGGATGGTGTTTATTTTATCATCAGTAATGTATACCAGTGGCACCCAATCCGCTGGCCCCACAGGCCGGATCAGTTGCATGGAGTCAGCCTATGGGCTAGATCCTGCGTGGGGTTGGCATGTGGGGTCAGTTCATGGGTGTGACCCAGCATGCTAGCCTGACTCGGCTGCATGCTGGCACACCAAAATGTGTTCTCTAGCCCCTGAGGCTCCCCGCAGATCCAGCAACTTTGGAGCAGGAGAACAGCAATTAACTGCTACTGCTCCCCTGCCACCCAATTTTCTGGACCCGTGGGGAGCCCTGCAGGCTGGATAACACAGCTCCACATGCCAGATTTGGCATATGGGCTGGGCTCGAGCACCCCTGTGTAGGAAAGGACATCCGCTAAGAGCATCTTTGGTAGTTCTCTGAGGAAGCACTTGGTGATGCCCTTCATTCCTTTCCCTATAGGTGACTGGGGCATGGGGCAGAGTCTGTCTCCTATAGAAAAGCCTAAAGGAATTATCCCAAATCTGAGAGAACCCATAGAGCCACAGGGGCTGAAACCGCCGTGCCATTGCACTTGGACAGAATTTGCCTGGCAGTTGCCACTCTAACTGATCCAGTATCACCATGCCCTCCCCCTGTTTGTCATGGCCTCCCAGATTGCCTGGTGGGAGCTGTGGAGGAAGTCTGGGCTACCGTCTTCTTTTTTAATTAACCCCTGCTGGGCCAGCATATATCCTCTTCCTCTGGGCTAAACCCGTCTCAGCCCAGCTCAGCATAGGTCCAGCACTGCAAATAGGCCTCCAGAAGCAGTATCATGGATGTGGCATTAGCTCATCCCCTTTTGCAAACAGGAATAGGGAGATCTGTACTTGGTTGGTTCTTTCCATATGCAAATATAGGCAACATGTTCCTTAAGCTTAGCTGCAGACTGTCCAGGAAATAAAACAATGAAAAAACAGTGGGAGAACTTAATACTCATGGAGGTATCCCTTGGCAAATTGGCCACAGTAGATACAAAAATGGAACTGAGGATCAGGAAGGAAGGG